CATGTTCCAGCAGAATGATGTATGTACCAGGAAAGAACTTCAGTCCTTATTGGGGTCCCTGAATTTTGTTATGCGCAGGGAAGGTCTTTTGTATCCAGGCTTCTTTGTCTGCTTCATGGGGTACCGGACGCCTGCCCAAGTGCGTTGGACCAGCACGCCAAAGCTGACCTACTCATGTGGGGGAAGTTTTTGACTGAGTGGAACGGTATCTCCATGTTCATTCCCCCTCTCTCCGACTCCTCACCCTGCATACACACTGACGCTGCAGCCAACACGGGTTTCCCAGCTATATTCGGTAATCACTGGTTTAGGCCACGCACATAAACACAGTGGAGGCCACGCACATACACACACACATATATATATATATATATATATATATATATATAATATATATATATATATATATACACACACACACACACATTGTTGAAAAAAATAAAGTGAACACAAAAATAGCACATCCTAGATCTGAATGAATTAAATATTCTTCTGAAATACTTTGTTCTTTACATAGTTGAATGTGCTGACAACAAAATCACACAAAAATTTAAAAATGGAAATCAAATTTTTCAACGCATGGAGGTCTGGATTTGGAGTCACACTCAAAATTAAAGTGGAAAAACACACTACAGGCTGATCAAACTTTGATGTGCTGGTGAGCACATGGAGTGCTGTGCGGCCCCCCAAAGAAATGCCACCCCTTACCATTACTGACCCATTGCCAAACCGGTCATGCTGGAGGATGTTGCAGGCAGCAGAACGTTCTCCACGGTGTCTCCAGACTCTGTCAGGTCTGTCACATGTGCTCAGTGTGAACCTGCTTTCATCTGTGAAGAGCACAGGGCGCCAGTGGCGAATTTGCCAATCTTAGTGTTCCCTGGCAAATGCCAAACGTCCTGCACTGTGTTGGGCTGTAAGCACAACCCATACCTGTGGACATCGGGCCCTCATACCACCCTCATGGAATCTTTTTCTGACCGTTTGAGCAGACACATGCAAATTTGTGGCATGCTGGAGGTCATTTTGCAGGGCTCTGGCAGTGCTCCTCCTGTTCCTCCTTGCACAAAGGCGGAGGTAGCGGTCCTGCTGCTGGGTTGTTTCCCTCCTATGGCCTCCTCCACATCTCCTGATGTACTGGCATGTCTCCTGGTAGCGCCTCCATGCTCTGGAAACTACGCTGACAGACACAGCAAACCTTCTTGCCACAGCTCACATTGATGTGTCATCCTGGATGAGCTGCACTACCTGAGCCACTTGTGTGGGTTGTAGACTCCGTCTCACGCTACCACTAGAGTGAAAGCATCGCCAGCATTCAAAAGAGACCAAAACATCAGCCAGGAAAACACCTGCAGAACCACTACATTATTGGGGGTGTCTTGCTAATTGCCTATAATTTCCACCTGTTGTCGATCCCATTTGCACAACAGCATGTGAAATTGATTGTCACTCAGTGTTGCTTCCTAAGTGGACAGTTTGATTTCACAGAAGTGTGATTGACTTGGAGTTACATTGCGTTGTTTAAGTGTTCCCTTTATTTTTTTTGAGCAGTGTATATATATATATATATATATATATATATATAGATAGATATGAGAGAGAGTGAGAGTGAGAGAGAGAATGATTATGTAGCTTTATGCTCTACTGTAAGCCCCATCAGCCCCATATTTATTTGTCTATGAGACCTCTCTGTTCCGACCCGTCTGCCTGCTATAGGTACTTTTTTGTGACACTTTGCTCGCCGCTTTCCATGTGGGCGGGGCTTCACTGTAGCCACACTAGTGAGATCGGCGGTTTGTATATCACACCCCAATGCATTCCAACTGTCTCCATGACGACTTGTGGAACGCAATCATACCTCCCTAGCTCACCTCTGAACCAGCGGTTTTCTTTTGAGAGGGTCAATTTTACCTGTGATTTTTTCGCTACAGCTGTAAGCAGACTAGGGGTTAATTGTAAGTACAGGCTGTATACAACGCACTGATTATGTTAATGTGATTTTGCTATTATGTTTGTATGTTATTTAAGCATTGGTGTTTGTATTGCACTGTATACTGACGAAAGTTTTTTTTTCACACTATTTCTAAAGTCCCTGGAGTGCTATCAATTCTGTATCTCTATTATTTTGCTGTTAAGCACTGGGCAATTATTATATATCCTGGAGTGCAAGTAATTGGAATTATATATATAACTCCTTGGTTTTGCACCCCTCCCTGTCACAGGTGCCTCATCCCAGGGCCCTATTTAGCCTTGTACTGCAGAGAGCCCCAGATGGAATTTCTTTCCCCAAGTAGGTTAATCACATAAGAGCAGACATTAGGCTGTTAGTGTAGGACCTGCCAAAGATGGGGTACATTGACGTTGTGGCAGGCTTATGCACTGTATGATCATATAATGTAAATAAACCCCATTATTTTTGCCTAGATTAGGTGTTTTTTAAAAAAACAAATAAAATCTTTCAACATTGAAGTTGCTGTTTAGTGGATAGGTGAGTGCGCTGGATCTTGTGTATTGTATTATTTGGCCCCCAGCAGCACCCCCATTTATGCATGTTAAGGTGAGTGCAGCCAACCCCCTCTTGTTTATATATATATATATATATATATATATATATATATATATATATATATATATATATATATATATATATATATATATATACACACACACACACAAACATATACAAACACACCCTGTTCCAAATTATTATGCAAATTCTATGTAAGTGTCACAAAGATTAAATATTTTGTTTTTCAGTTTAACTCATGGATGGCATTGTGTCTCTGGGCTCTTTTGATCACTGAAAACAATCTCTGACACCTGTGATAATTTGATTGCTATGTGATCCCAATTTAAGGAAAAACTACTAAAGGAGGGTGTTCCACATTATTAAGCAGAGCACCATTAACATGCAATATATATATATATATATATATATATATACACACACACTGCTCAAAAAAATAAAGGGAACACTTAAACAACTCAATGAAACTCCAAGTCAATCACACTTCTGTGAAATCAAACTGTCCACTTAGGAAGCAACACCATTTTCATGATCTCTCTGCTGCCGAAAAGAGTGAAATAGTTCAATGCCTTGGACGAGGTATGAAAACATTAGATATTTCACGAAAACCTAAGGGTGATCATCGCACTATTAAGAGATTTGTGGCTGATTCAGAGCATAGACGGGTTCATGCAGATAAAGGCACAGTGAGGAAGATTTCTGCCAGATCCATGCATCGAATCAAGAGAGCAGCTGCTAAAATACCATTACATAGCAGCAAACAGATATTTGAAGCTGCTGGTGCCTATTGAGTCCCACGGATATCAAGGTGTAGAGTCCTCCAGAGCCTTGCAACTGTGCATAAACCTTCTATTCGGCCACCACTAACCAATGCTCACAAGCAGAAATGGCTGCATTGGGCAGAAAAATACACAAAGACTAATTTTCAAACAGTCCTGTTCACTGATGAGTGCCGTGCAACCTTGGATGGTCCAGATGGATGGAGTAGTGGATTGTTGGTGGACGGCCACTATGTTCCAACGTCAGCAAGGCGGTGGCGGAGTCATGTTTTGGGCCGGAATCATGGGAAGAGAGCTGGTCGGCACCTTTAGGGTCCCCGAAGGTGTAAAGATGACCTATGCAAAGTATTTGGAGTTTCTGACTGACCACTTTCTTCCCTGGTACAGAAGGAAGAACTATGCTTTCCATAATAAAATCATCTTCATGCATGACAATGCTGCAAAGAATACATCTGCATCAATGGCTGCTATGGTGATAAAAGGAGAGAAAGTCATGGTGTGGACTCCATCCTCCCCTGACCTCAATCCTATTGAAAACCTATGGAGCATCCTCAAGAAAAAGATCTATGAGGGTGGAAGGCAGTTTACATCCAAACAGCAGCTCTGGGAGGCATTCTGACATCGTGCAAACAAATTCAAGCAGAAACTGTCCACAAACTCAGTTCAATGGATGCAAGACTTGTGAAGCTGCTATCAAATAAGAGGTCCTATGTTAAAATGTAATGTGACCTGTTAAAATGTTTAAAAAGTTAAAATGTTGTTATAAGCTTGATTGAAATAGCTTTTGATTTCAGTAAACATGCTGCAAACACAACAAATGACAATTTTTTGTTCTTTACAACCTATAAAGTGTTTTGAAACTTACTATGCGTAATAATTTGGAACAGACTGTTTCTATGTTTTAAAAAAAAAATACTGTTATCACTATGAGGTTTGTTCAATAAAATTTGAATTGTACTCTTAATAGTTGATAACATGAGACTTATGCTGACTGTTATTTACATAACTTATTTAGGTAAATGAGAAAAATATAATTTGCAGAATTTGGAACAGGGTGTATATATATATTAGTATTTGCATACAAACTTTTGGCTTAGGAGGGTTAGCGGTATGATGGGGGCGGGCATAGACAGCAAGCTGAGCTGTCAGTCAGCTCATTTCACGAACGTGCACACCGTGCACATGCGTGGTAAAGCGCTCAGTGTTCATTCATATGGCGGCATTCTATGAAGAACCCAATTGGTGCAGCACCAGATTGCTATGATGCTTTTCCAAGAGAAGCACCTGATTGAGCCCTGCTATTTTGTCATTTTGACAAAAAAGGGGGCGCGGCCTGTCGATCTCTGCACTGGAACGGAGGTAAGTTTTAGCTATAATAAGGATTTGGAAATATTTTTTATTAAGGGGAAATTAATATAAAATCAAGAAGGAAGGCTAGGGGGGCTGTCTTTCTTGCTTTTATATGCTAACTATAATGGTCCTATAAGTTCATTTTTGAGACATGGACTAGATCAGGCATAGGCAACCTTTGGCACTCCAGATGATTTGGACTACACCGCCCACGATGCTTTGCCAGCATTATGGGTGTAAGAGCATTATGGGGGATGTAGTCCCAACATCTGGAGTGCCGAATGTGGTCAATCCCTAGACTAGATTATTCTGCTGTAAATACTGAGAAATGTGTACTGCAGATCTCAATTAGAAATTAAAATTGTAACATTGTAATCTACCTTTGATGTTCCTTTTGCTGAGCAGTATAGGCCTGATCTTCGCAGACACACAAACAACTTCTTCCAAGATTTCTTTCCAAGTTCTTTCACATGCAAAAAGCCTTGGATTTCAGGACAACTGTTGGCAATCAAGAAGTTCTAGGAAAAACAAAAACAAAAAAAACACTGTATTTTTCTCACAATAGGATCAAGAAAACCAAGATGTATACATTTTGTCTACTATCAAGTGGTCTAAGTACACTAATGTAAATTAGTAATTAATATATAAACATCAGCATAATCAATACGATGAATATCAAAAGGTGTGACATAAGTTCCCTATGAGAAACTGTGGTGATTAGCCCCTAATGAGGGGCAACTTATAAAGGCAAGGACATAAAATACCTGCAATAACTGTGACTGGGGAATGCTGCTATTGGATTGTTGACACCAAGCAACCATATGCTCAGGGAAAAAATTCTGAAATAGACAGAAGTAAAGTCATTATACAAAGTTAAAAACATTTGCTCACAGAACACAATTCTAAATACAAAAGCAAATTGACTGAGTCTGCTCCTCTTACAAGCTTTCAGTATTTGGATTGAAGGTTTAAAACCCTTAAAAGGACTCTTTAGAGACACAGGCAAGTTTGATGTGGCTAGGGCTGCATTTAGAAATAATTTTACAAATATTTAACTCCTAAATGACAACTTATCCGTGACACAGCAAGTGCATGACCTATACACCATAATTCCTTCATCAAGTTTAAATTGCTTTGCTGCTTTGAGTATCCCTTAATGGACAGCTGTCATAAAACATTCACATTTTTTCCTTTCAATTCTTCATTTTAGAGAAGGTAGTACAATACACATCAGTACGCATGTGAGCCAGCATGTGATGCACCCAAATTTCAAGATCTAGTAAGAACATTCACATTAATAGATAAAATAAAATAGAATTATCTGGAGTGTTCACCGTCTCAACAAAACTGCCAACAGAGATGAACCAAAGAAAAACACAATAAAAGCTAAAATAAAATAAAAGAAGCACCCCACAAGACAAAAGTTAAAGATGGAGAAGAAAATACTGCTCTCCCAGGTTACCATAAGGCCACAGTGCCCCTTGCAAAGAACAGTCAATGTCTTACACATTTAAGGTAATTGTGCATAACTCATGTAAAATGTTATAAACATTTTTTCTTGCAACCTCACATAGATATGTACATTCAGCTTTCCAGATTTCCTAGAACTCCCCCTCATGTACTTCTCCCAAATCTCACTCTAACTGCTCCATGTAGGCCAATACACATCACCTGCGCCCATATGGAAACACCCTCATAGCACATGGCTTCTTAAAATGTAGGACTCTTCACTGTTGCCTGTTTAAACTTATCTTGCTGAGCATGATCTCTTCATTGCAAATAGCAACATAAATCTTTAAACTGGATCACAGACTGACAGTTTAGCAAAGGGAACTAAAACGGTTTCTGTAAAAAGCTGCTGAAACGGTTAGAGCTCTGCCTCTTCCAAATCTTCCAAATCTCTAGGATCTCTACCTACCACCCCATGGTAACTTCTTGTTACCTTACACCCAAACCCTACAGTAAGAATGGCAGTGCAAGATGTTCCAAGGAGAGATCTATGGTGTTTATCAAGCATGTGCCGTTCTCCAGGAGGGACAACCTATAAAAGATATAAAGAAGCTAATCATGCATGCAAAAAATCTATAAGCTGATCTAAGCTACAAAATGAGAAAGTGATAGCCAAAGAGAGCAAAACTAACCCCCGATTTCTTTTTATTTTATAAGTTATTAAATTCTAATTCAATTAATTTAGATAACCATTTTTCCTCAGTATGAATTAACAAGGAACCTATGGCCTGAGATATGGAAATGATTGCTGAGGAAACCTGCATAAAATATGTGATTGGGTGACTCAAGACATGGTGCTACAGCAACTAAAGAAAGTTAATGTAAACAAAGCTCCGAGCCTGAAGGTTTTCACCCACAAGTGAATAAGGAGCCAAATGACAAAATAGGTAAATCTCTGTATCAGGCTTCTTTTGTCTGGCAGATGTGCTTCCTACATTCAAAAAGGGTACAGAATCTTTGCCTGAAAATTATAAACCTGTGAGGTTAACGTCTGTAGCTGTGAAAGTATTTGAAGCTTTATTATGGGATCATTTTCAGGAATTAATTGGGAAGAACATTTGTTATTAGCAATAATCAGCATGGTTTTCTAAAACATAGTTCATGTCAAACTAACATAATTGAATTCTATGAAGAAGTATAGACCACGTACAGACTCACATTTTGCCAAGGAGTTTGATATGGTTACTTAGAATAGGTTAATATTCAAAGTAAAATAAATTGTTCTTCAGTAGAATATTAAGCATAACGCTTGTTAACACTTACTAAGAACACCACAAGACTAACGTGTTTGAGCATTCATGATTTTTTTTTTTTTAAATAAAACATAGCCTTTAAAATTTTAGTAAAAAAGGCAACATTTACTGAAATCGATAAAAAATTAATGCTGTGAATTTAGATAGTCACAACTAGTTATACACTCCAGAAGTAATCAATATCAGTTAGCAGAACAAGAGAAAACAAACAATGGAGTACCACATTAGTTGTGAAGAGTAAATAACATATGCATGAATAGTGTTATTCAATATACACAAATCCAAACACTTGAACACTACCCAAACATAAATAACACTATCTAAAAGTGGAAGAAAAATAACTTGCCTAAATAAACAGGAACATCAAAAATTACATAGATGACTTGACCTTATATATCAGGGGTAGTCAACCTGGTCCTGACGGTTTGGGATTTCAGGAGGGTGGTGGTGGTGGGTTCCACAGAAAACGCCCGGTTGGCCTCAATGGCCATGGGCCAAGGCCCGCAGAGGAAATCCTTTCATCTCCCCTGCCAGCCCATGCAGAGCCAGCTTTCCTGTAAGCCCTCTCAGGCTGGTGAGGAGATCAAAGATCTCCCACACCGGCCCACTGGCACTTAGTTCCAAAATCCAAACACTTGAACACTAGGGAAGGAAGGTCCTGGGAGGCTCTGTGTTCCTCCTGTGAGTAAATTGGTCGGAGCACATACACTGCACCCCTGCCAAACACACACCTCCCAACACACTGCACCTCTCTCACACACACACCACACATACACACACTGCACCTCACAGACACACACACACAAAAATAAAAAAAGATACAATTAAGTACATATTAAAAAAAAAAAATTGCACTTGCACTAAAAAAATCAGTTACTGCTGCACTAGTGTGCAGTAATGAAATGTTACCATAAACAAAGATACAAAAGTGGGTGGTATGCATTAAAGGGCTGACTATCCCTCTAATATATAGTAGTGTCTTGGGTAATAACCTCACTAGTAATCACTTACTTATGTGTATCCACCATGTCTAGCTATCTTCAAGAGTTAGAGATCCTAACACGTAACACAGATGTTTTAAATAAATCTAATCCACTATTCAAGTGAATAACAATATGGGAAATGCTTCATACCCCTGATTACTCTCAGATTTTGACAATTATTTCATTCACTTAATCCTCACTTTTTATTTTTATTGTTCACGGCCCAGGGTAACATTACTGTAGGGACTAGCTTCTCACATCTGGATTATAGTATTAGACCAGGGAGCAGCCAACCTTTTTTCCCCATGGTTAGTGATTGCATTAGTTTTCATTGTTTTATACTATTTTTCATTTAATGTTTATACTTTTTCTATTCCCTGTATTTCCCACATTGTCATTCACTCGAATAGTAAATTAGATTTATTTTAAACATCTCAGTGTTATGTGTTAGCATCTCCAACTCTTGCGGATAGCTACACCTGGTGGATGCACATGTGTAACTGCAATTCAAATGTATATTAATTGATGTCTAATTCTCCTAGACCCAATGTAGCAAGCCTGTATTCTTATACATTGTATCCATAAACTCACTGTGTGTTCATGATTTATCGATCCCTCAGTGGCAATAGTGACAGTCTACATATATTTTTCATATAAATTTGGCTTTGTATAATCTTCATCAGTGTAGATTGTCTTTTTTGAATGTACATACACACACGTCTATACCAACTTCCACTGATTGTTTTTTTTAAAATAAATATGCATCACTTAATAGTTTTCTAAAATAGTGGGATTTTTGTTTTTGTTTTCCCTTTTTGGATTTGGTGAAGCGCACTTCCTATATTGAAAACAGTTAATGTGTAATAGGTTGGCAAGTCTTTTCAATTAGGAGAGTGGTTGCTATTAAGTTCAGATTCTTTGTTTTTATATTCATTATCTTTAAAGTCTCAAAGAACACTTTATTTTTTTAAATGCTACAGTGGAAGTTCTAAGAAAAAGCAGAAAATGTAAACAAAACAAATGGGATCTGCAGCTTAACTCCAATGTCAAAATAACAGATCTCTGTGCTGAATAAAGGCTTGTAGTATGCTCCAACTAGAGACAAATTAAGCTATGCAGATTTGAAGCAATGTATAGCCTCGTAACCTTAAAGGATCACTATAGGATCAGGAACACAAACATGTATTCCTGACCCTATTGTGTTAAATCCACCATCTAGCCCCCCTGGGCCCCTCATGCCTCCATAAATATAGCAAGATTTTACTGTATTCAAGCCTGAAGCTGTAACTTTGCATGCTATTTGCCTCAGAAAACAAGCAGTCTGCTGACATCATCAGAAGTGGTAGCCCAATCCCAAAGGATTGGCTGAGACTGACAAGGAGGCAGATCAGGGACAGAGCCAGCATGATTCAAACACAGCCCTAGCCAATCAGCATCTCCTCATAGAGATGAATTGAATCAATTCATCTCTATGAGGCAAGTTCAGCGTCTGCATGTAGAGGGAGGAGACACTGAATGTTTGGATGCATTTTAGGCAGCCATGACCCAGGAAGGATCTCTAACAGCTATCTGAGGAGTGGCCAGTGAAGTTATCACTAGCTTGTAATGTAAACACTGCATTTTCTTTGAAACACAACTCCACCTTCTTCCGTCACAACCTAGTATCACCACATATGGCTTCTTTGGAGGAACTGGTGATGTCAGAAACTGAAAATATCAGCATTAGGTCTAGAAGCTGCAACCTAAAGTGAAATTGAAGGCATATGGGAACTTGGTTAAAAATGAAGAGATTAATTATCTAATCAGCAGAGAAGAGGGAATGCATCACACAAATGACAAAAACAGCATTATCTTAAAGAAGCTCAATGGCATGATAAAGAAATGTATATCACCCTGAAGGTTAACCCCAAGAATAAAATACAAGATTTGCAACACTCTTGGAATGAGGGCTAAAATAAGATTTCACAGAAATGTCATAGGAGTACGAGATGCCCACCAGGTAAACAAAAGCTCTGGTAGATAATCCATCACATCCAACTTTTCCCACTTTTTGTTTGTTTTGTCTCTTCCCAGCAGTCCTATGTAGAAAAGGCAAAGTCTTATTTGAAAAACATCACTTAAACACTATGAAAAATAGAAAGTGGCAGTGGAACGTTTTACATGTGGTGGCAGATTTTAAGTTCTTTGTAGACTATTATTTATCACAAATAAAAGATTTGAACCATTAAGAACTGCACCAACAAAGGCAGGATCCCTGGACAACAATCAAACCAATTTCCTTATTGTGTTTAGAAATACATTGATACAGTTAAACAAAATACAAAGGAGAGGGGCAGCAATTGGAAAAAGAAAATGTTCCATATTTTGAGAAAGTCACTGGAAAGACCACTTTGGTGTCAGCACAAAGAAACGGTCATCATGTATAAGTCATATAACTTTACTAATTTCGAACAATACAGAATTATTGCAGTCTTTCCTTCAATACCACAACAATTGGGGCATTAACTTTAATCACAAACAGTACAAAATAAAGACTTTTGGAATTTCACACAGGATAATAGAATCAAAACTAAGACCTACCTTAAGCTATTAATGTCAACAAGTAGCTTCAACTTAAGAGAAACTTTTAATTATCCAGAGTGGCTGAACAATGTTCCCAACAACAAATTCAGACAAATCAGAAGGAATTGTGCAGATGCTAAGATTATTATTCATATAGTGCCAACCTATGTTGCAGCTCTGTACAACCATAGAATGGGAATAAACTATGTGTTGTTGACATACAAAATATTAAAGGGACAGTATAGGCACCCAGACCACTTTAGCTCATTGAAGGGGTCTGGGTGCAGTGTCCCAGGTCCCTTGAACCTGCAATGGCAATTATTGCAGTTTCTGAGAAACTGCCAGGGTTAACTCCATCTCTAGTGGTTGTCTTATTCAGAGCGTGAGGACATCCAGAGTCAGTTAGGCTACCATGAGGACATCCAGCTTCACCAAACCCCATAGGAAAGCATCATGTAATGCTATAATTATATAATACTTTCTTACAGGGGGAAGTCCTAATGTGAGCGCAGCGAGGAACATCGACGCTGGAATCGGGTAAGTTACAGAAGAAGGTTTTAACCAAAGAAGTGTGTGAAAGAACAGTTGAAGGAGGGTGAGTGTGCTTGACTATGGATGGAACTAAGGAGGGCAATTGTAATGAGAAGCTTTAAATCAGGAAGTTGGTTGGATTTCCTAAGGAGGTGTGTTTCCAGTGACTTCTTACAGGATTGGAGGCTAGGGAATGGGGCAGTACTTGGAATATCCTGTGGAATAGCTTTGGCAGCGCGGGAACTAGTAACTAAAAAAATAAATAAAAATGAAAAGGGCTGTACTTTCTGAGTGGGAAGAGGAAATCTAGCAAGGAGAAGAGTTATTGATGGCACTGTAGGGTAATGTTTGCAGTTCAAATTGTATCCTAAAGGTTACAGGAAGACAATGCATTGATTAGCAAAGAAGTGAGGTGTGGATATAGTGGTCAGTCAGGAAAATGAGCATAAAATGAAGCAATGCAGGTATCTGGAAGGCTGATTAGTAATAAGTTGTGGTAAATTACACATTTTACATAACAGGATGGTAAGTAGTTAGAGATGGAAGAGAGGCAATTTGTGGCATGTTTCAGGAAGGCAGGAGAGAGGTCAGGAGAGCAGAGGTAAAGCGGAGTATACTCAGCATATATATTGTATTGAGATCCAAAATAGTACAAAAAAAAAAAAAAAAAGATTTAGGAGATTCAGTGTACATGGTAAACAGAAGAGGACCATGAACAGAGCCTTGGTGAACAACTTAGACAGCAGTGGAGAGGAGGTGGAACCAGAGAAGGAAACTGTAACGGACCGTTTTGATCACTAGAGGTTAAAAACCGTTTAGGCGATATTCCCCTTTCCAGATACACAACAGCTACTGTAAGCACCGATCTCCTGAACTGAAAACACAGAAACACTGGAAATATCCAAACAGGAAAACCATACGAAAGGGTTACACTCCTGGCAGTCAGCATACAATCCAATTCCCCCAATAACGAGACAACACTTTGTTTGAGGGTCAAGCAGAACTCTTTTACCGACACCAAAAGAACCTTCTTTTATGCAGGTTTCCCTTAGATAGGACCACCTACAGGGTTTTACAAAACAACCAATCATACACGTATATTACAGAAACACTCCCAGCAATTACATACAAAAATCCTCCCGTCTGCCTGTGATCTAATTATGGTACACAATGGGTTAACATAATTAAACACAGGCAGTAAAAATACAGTTTTTATACATATCCTGTAACTTTAAAACCACACATCCAATCTTGATATATTTAGAATCAGTAACCTTCAAATATAAACATAACCAAAAATCAGCCAAATCCATCCAGGGGTTAAAAACTTAGCTGGAGGTCCCTTTATGACTGACCACAAGCACATTTTCCTGCCCAAAACAGTTCCATAGATTTGGGCTGTGCGGTCGATCTATTTCAGGGTGAAAAAACGACTAAGTCCCTTCGCCGAATGGGAC